CCTGGGGATCCTCTGAAGATGTATCGCCATAGGTAGTGGTGAAAAGCTTGGTAAACCTATCCAATCTCCACAAGGCCTCAGAAGACATAGTTGATCCATCGTCGGTCTGTGCTACAACACCCGGCGGAACTACCCCAACTTGCTGAGCTGCTGGAGTCCGAAACTGAGGAGTCATCTACTTGGGGGTGTGAGTAGCGGGAGTATGTGCTGCTCCCCCAGCCCAAGAGATGGCTGGTGCTATAAGGAATGTACCGGCCTGAGTAACACTCTCCATAAGGCCCAAGACCAAGGCATCCTGAAGTACTAGGGTAGCGATGAGCCCCTCTGGAACCTGAACTGGCCCCACTGGAACAGTCTAGGCTGGAACCTCCTCATCAAAGTCTACCTGAGGTCCCGCCACTGGTGCAGCTTGTCGAGCTATGGGCTAAGACATGCCCATGCCTCGACCTCTAGCACGACCTCGTCCTCTGCCCCTTGTAGGGGCTACCACTGGGGGCTCGGTCTACTGATCATCTGATGAAGCGGTACATGTTCTCTCCATTTGCGAAGGAACAAGAGTAGAGAGTTCAATTAGCATTGAGAGACCAAATCGCACGATAGAGAAGAATAAAAGTTCCTAACTCGGTAGCCTCTGGGGATAAACGCTGATGTTTTAAGCGTCAATACTATATAAGAGGGGGGTGATTTGTGTAGTACTCGGTTTTCGCTTAACTGAACTATAGAAGAACCTGGTTCTTCTAGGTGTTCCAACTACTACTATTTACGGAATAATAAATACAGAAAATAAAGAACACAGGGATTTTTACGTGGAAAAACACCTGGCTCAAAAGGTAAAAAAATCACGACTTACTACTCAGTAGGATTTTCCCAAACTTCCACTAAAATCACTGAGCAAAACAGCATTTACAAAAACTCTTTGTAAACCTAAGGATTAACTCTAATCTCGTTGTGGCACACAGCCTTAGCTGTTGCGACAACTTCAAGTTAGCTATAACTTGAACACTCTAGGTACCTAAATACAATTGCTTCTATGAAAGATGAAAGGTACAACTTTAAACCACCTACTACAATTGAACTAGAATAAAAGATAGACACAATGGAACTGGTTCTTCTATCACGTTCAAGTAGTTTCAGGAGTGCACACTCAAATCCCACATAAATTGTTTGCAAAATCGCCTTACTCTTTTGCTCTCAATTTAGTTAACTTCTACGTATGTGCATGCCCTGTAAAAGAGAACAACACTGACATTTAATAGGTTAGTAATCAGAGCTTGATTAGAACTCAATTTCTGCTCTCCTATCGTAGAAGAGTTCATGATGATCTCAAACTCTAACACTATCTTCATCCTAGATTGTGTTCTCTTCATATAAGGAGACTTTCTCCCCTTATCTACATGCAACCTTTTCGATCAGATCAGGAGATATTGCTGCTTGATCAATAGGACTTATCTCCTTCATGAGCATCTCACATGTATAGGTTGATCATGACTGTGCTTCACAAGATGGACCTGGTCTATGACTGAGTTCTTTTTGTCATTCTTCAAAACTTCACCTGTTCTTGGGCCAACAAGCACAGACGTCTCCATACCGATCCCTCAGACTCTACTAAGCTTGTGCGTGAATTGTGAGACCTAGGCAACCTAGTACTTTGATACCAACTTGTCACGACCTGAATTTCCATTATCGAGACCATGATGGTGCCTAACATCGCACTCGCAAGGCAAGCCAATGTTACAGTTTTATTTGCTTTTTTCCTTTACATTTTATATTTTACAATTAAAAAAAAATAAATCAAACTGAAATAAATGCGGAAGTACATAATAAGCTGGTTATCTATATACTATTAACAATACCGAAACTATTACCACCCAAAAATGGAGTCACAACCCACGAACATTCTATGAATATCTACAAGTATTGGTCTGAAAGAAAAGTACATATGTCTCGAAAGAAAATAAAACAAGAATGCAGAAACATAGGAGGGGACGCCAGGGCCTGCGGACGCCTGTAGGACTACCTTGGCTCTTCTAGATGAATGTCTACAATCGACCTCTCGATCAGCCACAACCAGCTCCAAAATCTGCACAGAAAGTGCAGAGTGCAATATTAGTATAACTGACCCCATGTACTGGTAAGTGCCGAGCCTAACCTCGACAAAGTAGTGATGAGGATAAGGCGGGGCATTTACAATATAACCTGTATATAGTTTATAATAAAATGGAATAGTAACTTTCAGTAAAACAAATACGGAACCCAATTATCTTGCTAGTACTCAGCTATAACCAATACTTAAGAGAGTTACAATGATACAGAATATAATCACAGTAGAAGAAAAATACATAAACAACAAACTGATGCGGTGCGCATCCCGATCCCATCATATCATTAATAACAATATGAACATTCACCCTTATTACTCCTGTTGCGACATGTAACCCGATCCTACCAGTCCACCCTTATTGCTCCTCAATATATCACCCTTATTCCTCCTGTTTTGGCGTGCAGTCCGATCCCACCTATATACCCTTATTACTCCTGTTGCGGCGCGCAACCCCATCCCACTAGACAATCACATTTCACCCGTATTCCTCCTCAATATACCTCCCTTATTCCTCCTGTTGCAGCGTGCAACCCGATCTCACCATATCAGTACCAAACACACAATAAGTACAAGTGTTTCACAATTTAGTTCAAAACCCACAACAATATTTATGCCTCAAACCAAAGTAAACAGAAATCTATACAATTATGAAACTTCATTAATTAATACTACACAACGAGACCAACCAAAATGCACTACGAAGCACCAATAAACCAACTTGAACCAATGATGTGATACAATAATTTGCGAAACAATTAATACCTTCATTAAACAAAATAACATCTAACAAGAAGCAATTAAACAAAGAATCACCAATAAGCATGTAGCAGTTAAGACAGGAAAATAATATATTAGGGACGAGGGAAAGGAACAGGCTAAACAGATAATTTAACGGTGCATAGGTACTCGTCACCTCACCTATGCGCCACACACATGGGTTTTCACATAGCAAATAAGTCAGAAATTCCTAATCCCTCAAGTCGAGGTTAGATACAACACTTACCTCAATCCAACGACCAATTCAAAGCTCAATTACCGCTTTTCCTCTAGATTCCACCTCCAATCCACTCGTATCTAGTCATAATTAACTTAATAACATCAATTATCGCTAAAGAAATCAATTCTAATGCATAATTATAGGTTCCCCAATATTTTCTCCAAAAAGTCAAAAACCGGCCCCGCACCCGCTTGGTCAAACCCCGAAACTCACCCGAGCCCTCGGAGCTCCAAACCAAACATGCACGCAAATCTTAAAACATCATACAAACTTGTTCGTACGATCAAATCACCAAAATAACATCTAAAACTACGGATTTAACACTAAAACACATGAAATTCTTAAGAACACTTGAAATTCCTCTTTTCTCAATCGGATGCCCGAATCACGTCAAATAAACTCCGTTTTTACCAAATTTAACAAGCATGACTTAAATATCATATTAAATTTGTACCGGACTCCAAAACCAAAATACGGACCCGATACCAACGAGATCAAATATTAATCAATTTCTTTAAATCCTTAGATTTTCAGTTTAATAATTTTTAACAAAAATTCATTACTCGGGCTAGGGACCTCCGAATCCTATTCCGGGCAAACACCCAGGTCCCATATTTTACTACGGACCCACCGGGACGTCAAAATATGGGTCCGGATCCGTTTACCTAGAACGTTGATAGAAGTTAACAAAAATCAACTTCTTAGGCTAAAAATTTTTATTTCATCAATTTTCCACATAAAGACTTTTCGGAAATACGTCCGGACTGCGCATGCAAATCGAGAAGAGATAAAATGAGGTTTTTAAGACCTCAGAACACGAAATCAGGTTATAAAACAGAAGATGAACTTTTGGGTCATCACAAAAGTATATTCACATATCTCAAGTTAGCTATTAGGCACGTTTATTGTTATACACCTTTAGCATTTACTCTCGTGTTAATTTTTTATTTCTTTCTTAGTAAAGCACGAAGTCACTTCGCAAAATGTCATTCACCTTTTTTACCCTTTAAAATATAGATTACACTTGATAAAATAGTCATTTAACTATTTTTTAAATTTTTAGGAATAATCATTTAAGTATTTTTCTAATATTTAGGAATTCAAAATCAACTAAACTTAGTGTATTGAATCCTTCCTTATTTAAGTTTCAACTGTAAAAGAAAATTAATAAATAAAGTTAGTAAATGTAATTATGAAATCCTTCGAGAACTTTCAATTCCTTTTAGGCATATGAGTATTCTTTGTTCGATTATAAATTTTTAGGTTACAAAGAGTAAGGCCATAAATTAAAACTATTCACTATTTTTTCTAATTGAAATTCAAACTCTATATCTATATTAGAGAATTTTAGTTGAAATTAGAAAGCAAAAATAGTAGTAAAAAATATGAAAAAAGAAAGAAAGAAAGAAAAATAGAATTGATGAGAAGATAAATATATCATTTAATTTAACGAGAGAAAATTTTTATTGTATTAACTCATTCTATCTTACCTCAATCAAATTTTAATAAAATATTAAAGTTTAAAATATTTTATTAATAATTGCATAAATATAAATTACATATATTATATAGTACTACTTTATATTTTGGGGGTTAAATATTTGGGAGCCTAAGGCAAGAGCTTCACTTGCCTTATCCTAGAGCCCCCTTGCCCCGTATTAAAAAAAATATCAAGTGTTCCCAACCATGTTTCTCCTAGTTGATTATGGATTCTTTCTACGCAGCCACCGAAGCTTTTCCTGAACAGCACCTTTGATCTTTAACTTCCACCCTTGCCCGTATGAGAAAAAATATCAAGTGTTTCCAACCATGTTTCTCCTGCTCGATTATGGATTCTTTCTCCGCAGCCACCGAAGCTTTTTCTGAATTGCACCTTTGATCTTTAACTTCCAGTTTGCGCTGATGGATTACGAGTTACGCAAAGCTGTAGAGAATTCTCCATGTGGTAGGTTTATTAGATACAACGAAAAGTTGGTTGGAGGGGCTTACAAAGATGTTTACGTAGGGTTTGATCGTGTTGAGAATATTGAAGTGGCGTGGAACCAAATCGATTTTGAGGGAGCATATGATGAAGAGGCACGAGAAATCCTACTAAAATTGTACACGGAGGCTCATATACTGAAACACTTAAAGCATGAAAGTATTATCATGTGTTTTTCTCGGTTGTTCGACAGCGAGGCCAAAACTATAAGCGTGATTACAGAGTTGTTTCCCTCCATCAGCCTGAGAAAACTACGACGTACTAAGTCCAAGTGTGATGGCGCTGTCAGTGGTATTGATTTGGCGGCTATCAAGAACTGGGGTAGGCAAATTCTTGAAGGTTTGAACTTTCTCCATAGTCAGAACCCTAAGATCGTCCATCGAGACATCAAGTGTGACAATATTTTTGTTCATAGTGGTGGGAAACAAGTTAAGCTCGGAGGGTTTGGTTTGGCAATTCGTCTAATCGAGGGTAATTTTGCAAAAGAGCTAATTAAGGGTAATTCTGCATTCATGGCTCCTGAGTACTATGATGAGAAATATAATGAATTGGTGGATAATGCATTTTCTTGAGATGGTTACCGGAGAATATCCATATAGGGAATGTAGCAATGAGTTGCAAGTATTTAGAAAAGCGTCCACTGGTGTGAAGCTGGCATCTCTTGCAAAGGTAAAGGAGTCTAGAGTGAAATATATCATCGACAAGTGTTTGCTTCACATGTATGTTAGACCATCTGCACAAGAGTTGCTGAAAGATCCCTTCTTTTTATATAACAGTGGATCGACATTGGAGGCTTGTACCTCCACGGCCAGTTCTGTAATTAGTCATCCTTTTCCGAGATTGCATTCTTGCGCAAACTAGGGATTTTGTTAAGAACTTATATCTGGTGTGATGATCATTATGAATCACACACGCTAGTTTAGGAGTAAGGCGTAATTAATTGCTTGTTTTTTTTTTCATACATTCTCTCTTGGAAAATTTTTGAGTAGGAGCCTTTTGTTTTCCAGAATATGATGCTAATATCAGAATTTAGCTATTGATGAAGTAAATATATACTCATATCAAAGCTTCTTGTTAATTATCTCTGTATTCTTTCACTCATAAAATATCAGGAACATATGTTAGTAAATCAGGCTTACAAATAGTTCGCCCGTAGAAGATTTAATTTTCCAAGTTATCTATTCCTCAAAAAAAATTCGTTTTGTGTATTTAGTTTTTGACATCAGTTGAGCCTGTATATTTATTTATTATATGCATGTCGTTTAAGCTTTTTTTTTTAAGTTCAAAGGCATGCGAATTGGGATGGTGAAACCGTGTTACCTGAAGCCATATTCTTCAAAATCGGCATCACGTTCGCAACTTAGGCATCATCTGAATTCTGAGGATCAAAGTAGGTAAACAAAGTCAAAAAGATATATAATTAACCCCCTGTCGAAATGTCAAAAGGATCCAACTTTGTTTACCTGCTTTGATCATTTCATCACAAACTGACAAGCATAAGAATTACAGATTAACTTTGCAGCAGAGCCTGTGGAAAATGTTCATGAGCTAAAATACAAACTGAGAAAGATATCAAAACATTACATAAATGAACAAAGCTGGAAAGCTCAAGTTCTTAGTGGATCTTGTCCCAAACAAAAAACGGTTAATTGAATAAGCTCTGATCTTAGTACCATTTGCTATTAGGACTGCAAACTTAGTAGCTTTAACACTATACAAGACAACTGATTCGGGATAAAAGGGAAAAGAAAAAAACCCATCCATGTGTTACATATGAAGGGAGTTGTGAAGTATTAATCAGCAATTCAATTCGCTCAAATTTAAGACTCCCTTCATCCAATATAGCCTTGTGCTTTCTCTTCTCTGATAATTTAGCAGTTTGAAAACCGTTTTGCTCAGTACTAAACTGAGAAGCTGCGCAAGCGCGTAATTCCTCTAAGCTCTCACCTTCCTTGGCTCCCTCCAAAACCTGAGATGTAACATACACAACATATTATGAATAAGCCACTCAACAAATGAGGGGATTTGATCTTAATTACACAAAGGCATTGAGCTTAACAAACAGTACTCAAACGTATAAAGGAAAGCCAACTTAAACTTAATGAGTTCAATCACCAAGAAATGTCGACAATTGTTGAGCCTTTATTCACTTGGATAATTTATGGAAGAAAGAAGAGATTGCAGAAAACCATTGCATTAAAATACCTTATCCATGCAGTTGGTTTACACACACATGACACAATCAAGTATCTTAACATAGTCGTATTCATCAGCACATGACGCTAGGTGCACTTCGATAAATTTCCTTGATTTACCAATGGTATGTCCACTTCCTGAGAATTTTGGCGTGATTATATATGAGTCAAGCTTGAAGAAAGATAGAATTCATATCGTCGACCCCAACTTTGTTTGGGACGGAGATGTAATTGTAGTTATATATTAGAGGTAAACTATTTATATATTAGAAGTAAACTATAGTTACCGGCTTTAAATAATACAGTTCTCCTCATTACCATTTTTTCCCATATACAATAGTGTAAAATGTCAATACTTAGTTTAAGCTTAACCCTTCACTTCGACAATATCACAATACAAGCTCTAAAAACATTCACAAACACCTAAAATGCCAGAAACTTTATTTCAAGGCATAGTTTCTTTTTTCCCCAGTACCATAATCTAATGCCAATTAGGATAAAACATATTAATTAATTTAATGGCTAATAATTGGCAAACAAAAAAAGTGACCAGTTGCTTAAACATCTTCCCCCAGACAACAATTAATCAATGCACAAAAATGGACACAAACAATTTAATTTTTAAAAAAAAAAATTAGTATTCCCTGTTAAATTTGATACCATGGGAAAAATTGAGCAGGAAATTTAGGAGTGGTATGCTGCAAGAAGCGATCCAAATTGGTCAAATTCTCAACTCTAATCGATGAAAACGCTTCCCCCTTTTCCTTCTAAAGAAAAAAAGACTAGAACTCACATATTTCTCACTAAAAATTTAAGCTCTCTCTGGTGTTTTGATTTCTGTGCTAAGTGTCTTTTGATTTTGGCCGGCAGCCAAGGCCAAGTTATTCTGGGATTTCCCTGTTGTGGCATACTTGCTTATTTCTTGCTTAACTGGTATGCCCTAACCTTTGCAATTTCATTCCCTATGCTTTGCTTGACTAGTCTTCTTCAATTCCCAGCATGACTCTATCCTTTATATGAGATCATATTTAGTAATATTGTTGACTTAAGACTAAGTTATTCTGAATAATATGAATCCTTTTCATAGTTTAGCCTATGGTTGAAGTTGTCTCATGCATTGTTTGTTAATCCTATACTTGTTTTGAACTTTGTACATTATAGACATGTAATTAGTAAATTTTGTTGTTTAACTCATATGCCCTGCCTGCGTAATTCATATGTATGACTAGTTTAATCGTTTCTACCTAATTGTTTCTGTGATTAAGCCATGATTGTCTTAAGTACTAGCATAAGTATTTAGCTTAACTAGACTCCAACTTATTTGAACTATGTATTTAAGCCTGAATGTTGTATATTTGTTTGGTGTAAGTTCTACCTGCGTTATGTGTCCTAAACCCTATTTCTTCTGAAAGCAAACTATTTTAAAACATGCCCCATACCTGTTTTATGTACTAAATTTAAACCCTCCACTCTTAGTCCCTTAAGTTCCCAACCCCCCAGCGTGAGCACTACCTAGGGTCCACATGAGACTCAATTGAACTCTGACACACTGGGGGCTGGTTTTCCAATCTCCTATGAATTACTTTCTGAATGTGTGGTTCTTCTGTGAGCATTGCCCGGGGTCCCTGAGGCCTTTGGGAACTTTGACACACTGGAAACCTGTTTCAAATGGATTGTGGAGGAATCACTATGTTATTGTTATATTGGAAGGCCTGGTTCCCAGGTTCACTTGGGCTTATGAAGGCTCCCTATAGTGTCTCATTATTATTATGTCATTCGTTTGTTATTCTGGGTTGTAATAACTTTATAATAACATATTTGGGGATATTCAGTAAAGCTGGGGAATTTTTTTTCTTATATCTTTTGTTAAAAGTGGGTAGAAATCCTACCTATCGGATCTAATTCTGCTGTCAATTCTATTCGTTTAAGTGAAAACTGTGTGAGTTCTATACTATGTTTAGACATCCTTCCTATAGGGCTTTCATGATCATTTCTCTGTATTTTACATTGGCATACTAGAAATCATGATTATAGGACTTTCATGTAATTAGAAATCCCGCTCATAGGATCTATACATGTTTCCAACAAATGTGCATTATCAAGCAAGCCTATAGGATCTTGTTGTTTTAATTAACTGTCCTTCCTGGCAATCCGTTTAATTTCTGCCTGTATACAGTTCATAGATATCATGCCCATAGGATTTAAATCCTTCAAACCTAGAAATCATGCCTATAGGGTTTAAAATAATCCAACAATAGATATCTGCCTATAGGACTAAAATTAATTTCAAACCTAGAAATCATGCCTATAGGGTTTAAATCAATCCAGCAATAGATATCATGCCTATAGGACTAAAATCAATTTTGAATTTAGAAATCATGCCTATAAGGTTTAAGTCAATTCAGTAATGAGAAACCATGCCTATAGTATTAAAAAGGAATAAAATCTATCCTTGCAAGTCAAAATCAGTGCTACGCTCAGAAACCATGTCTATAGGTCTATAATCAACAAGTTGTAGAAATCATGCCTTTAGGATTTTGTTGACCGATCCTGAATTCATTCCCTATTGTCAATCACTTAGGAAATATATTTGTAGAACTTAATAATGAATCTGGGTTTTTAATCGTAACATATTGCTGCCTGGAGTGCCCATATTCATGTTGAATATCAGTAGGCAAACAAATAGGTCTTAATGCTCGCCTTAACAAAGCTGTCTCTGCACTCTATTTTCTTACATAGATATCCTGCCTATAGGCTTCCAAAGTTAATAAAGTTCGTTGATTCAATTGCATGCTTTTGTTGTCTACGTGTGGAGGTCAATGTGAACCCATGCTTGTCCTTTATTTGAAAGTTTGATTTGTTTTGGTTTGTCACCTAGATTTCACATTTTAAGCAACATAGGTTGGCTAGAACCATCCCAAATAGAGGTCCTAATACCTCCAGGGCCATAAGTAAGGGACGGGTAGTGCACGCATAAGGAACGAGCTAGAAACTACTAGAATGCTTAAGTAACAACTTAAATATAGTAATTGGGTAGTAAGGAGATGATAGTCCATGCGCTAATGCTATGAGTAACACCCCGACTTGAGGGAGTTACAAAGTATTGCATGGAATGATCCTATAGGCTAAAAAACTTAGGACCACCCCCACCCCATACCCCTATTTAAAATAAATTGAATATTGTATTGTCAAAATTATTTTCTTCCCTTTTTAGATTAATCCGCTTAATTTAAGTTCGACCGGGACCTACCGTTGTGGACCTCGTGGAGTGCCTAACACCTTCCTCTCAAGGTAATTTGAGCCCTTACCCGATCTCTGGTGATGTAAACTGGTTATATCAGTTATTTGCTCTACGTGCCCTAACGCACCTTAATCCG